CATGGGCAGTTACATATTAACAATTTATTAAATCTGTTAAATTTCGACCGTGCAATATTTTTGGTACCCCCCGGTATGTTCCTCCAGCACGCATTATTATGGTCAATCTGATTTATCACCCGAATAAAATATTGCATGGGTCGATATACACTACTCATCACCTCCACACAGTGATGGGTCATTTGAATATTTTGAAATGACCGTTAAATGACCTGGTCATTTAAGGTCATTTACCATTTAAGTCCTTTACAGTATTGGCAATTAAGTTAGCCAGAATTAAAATAAAAAAAAAATTACGAAAAATTAAGATAGTAATATTTACCAGAATTATATGATCACATGATATAATTTCTTTAATCATTTGCCATGAGACCTTTTAGGTCAAACGCCATCACTGCTCCACACCTGTTCGTATCACCCGGGATTTTTTAGTTCGAGGACGCGAGTTCGATATTCAAATTTTTTTTTTTGATAACGCGATAAGTTTTTTAGTTCCTTAATTTCAATACCTCACTCAAAAGTGACAGTGGTTCGACTATGACATTTCACTTTTTAATAACCTTTTGAGATGACCGACAAAAAATCATTATTATTATCTCTTAGGATGATCAGAACACAATAAGTTACGCAAAAACTGGAAGATTACTTTTTTTTGTCATGATACACGTCCAAAATTATTCTTGATACATTATGGAATTCCTATACTAATAACCACCGAAATTCCTAAACAAATCTATGAAGTTGCTTCTCTGCAAAAGCACAGCCCCCAATCGATACTCAATTTCGTAATATTTGTCCACGTCATTAGGATTATTATTCCAGCTGGCTAATATACTCGGATTATACACACTTAGATCAAGTGTTTGACCTAAAATAAATTAACAAAATTGTAGATATATAAATGAGCAACCACTTTTCCTAGTTTAAAAAATTACGCAAAAAAAATGAGTGTGTCAAAATTTTTCAAAAAACTGTTTTCTACCGACGGTGAGAAATATTATTTTTGAAAATAGCAAGCATTTTTTTAATACTTATTACAACTTTGCCTACAATAAATATGGTTGCTGTCTTGTAGACTTTAATGACAACAGATTTCAGAAGAAAATAGAAAATCCATTACTCAGTGGGCAAAAAGAGTGAGGGCTCTTCAAAAAAAAACAGACCCAACGCGGATGATGATGACTTATACGAAGACCCCTTATTAATAATTGAGTGGAACGCGGCAGGACTATCCCATAGAAGTAATCTGAATACAGCCAACACTTTAAACTCGCTTGTTTCATGTATGTTGTAATTATCAAGGTTAATTTTTTGAGGATTATTTCTAATTTTTTTTTATTAGTAATTCGCAGCAGGAAAGGATGCGCACCTTTTCCTCCAATTGAAGTTGGCACACCCTCCGATTCCGTTTTCTCATTTGTGAAGACCAGATTTTTCTGCAAACCAAAACTTACTAATAGCGTTAGCCATCTTGTTACTAGCGCCAGCAATTGGTGGAGACATTCTGATGGTAATCAAGACGTTGCTCGTATGTATGTTGTGAAATGCCCTAAAAAGGGTGAATTTGATATTGACGAGTACACCATGGTATTCAACTGATAAATGGAGTTAAAGAGACCAATAGCACATTCAGTAACTTTTTACTGTGTGTTTAAATATGTTATATTAATAGTTTATTAAGATTTATTTGTACTTTGCGTTGAAAATTCAATAAATACTTCATCAACAATCATCTTTTGAATATATTTTTTTTTATTATCGTGTTTAAGTCTAAAAATTGTTGCGCCAGTAACCCAGGACAGGACAATCTAATGACGGATTTTGCTCTAAAGCTCAATTGAAGTTTTTGTCGCGTAACTCTGGTCAATAATTACGAATGTATAAAGTGGGTAATCTACAGAAGAGAGCAATTTTCACCACTTGGATGTTGAGGAAATTTAATATTAGAAGAAGAAATATGGTGATGAATGCTTGTTGTCATCATATTTCTCTATAAAAACAGGATTCATTTAAATTTCAAATGTTCCAAATCCGAATAAATTGTGGTAGTATTTACATTCCCGCACACATTAAAAAATAATGTATGATTTAAATCTAAAAATAACATGTAAAAAGAGTGAAAAGAGAAAAAGTAGCACAAAAAAGTTTTTATTCTCAAATTTGTGAATTTGAGTCCTTCATCAAATAACCATACGATATGAACCTTGCTCTTACGATTCGATAAGGATGAACCGTACATTGGGTAACGTCTTTGACGAAATTTTCTATCTTCGGACCGGAAAGATTTTTAAGGGAAGATCTTTTACATTTTCTTGAAGTTATTCGCTCTAGCAAATAGGTACGAATAAACGAATATTGATTTCTGGCTTCGATTAATAGTAAATTGGATGGGGTATTGTCAAGACGGGATTTTAATTCTATACAGTAATAACATTTTTAAAAGTTTCCAAAGCTACCACATGAAAAAATTTTGGGAACAACGTCAAATTTTATCCGATAGTCCAATCCGAGAATGCTTTTTGATGGGATCTCTATGAAAAAAAAAGTAAACTAGAATTAGTTTTTTTTTTATATAAATGGTCTGAGAATTTCGCAAAAGTCTTGACCATTTTCTAGGAAAGTATTTCGGTTTGTCATTTAACGTGTTAGTACCACTTCATAATTTTCAACGAGTTTGATATTCATTTGAACAACTTTACGAAATATCCCATTATTTTTAATATGGACAGGCTTATTTTTGAATTCCTACAATTGCTTCAAACGATTCACTTGATAAATATTTCTCTGCATGGAGGTCTATAAATTGCTCAATCAATATCGAGAGGAAAACAGTTCGCGAGGTACGGATCAGACTAGAATGATAGAAATTTCGAGTTATAATTTTGACATTGATGCACGTGATTAACATCCTCGTTATGATAGCATTTACTATTTCTAATTCTGCTCTAGTGGTTTTGAACACTCCTTTCTAATTTTAATTAAAGATATTAATTACCATAAATGGATCATAATTAAAAAGGGATGATCATCAATTCGTTATATATATACAATCATGCGAAAATTTCATTTTTATTTTTCGCCTTTATTAATTTAATCATGGAAGATCCAAACGCAGATACAGAATGGTAATAAAACAAGTTTTTTTTTTTTAAAAAAAAAATTATTACTGAATTAATGAATTAATATGTTATAGGAATGATATTCTTCGAAGTCGCGGTATCCTTCCTCCAAAAGAAGGACCTACAGAAGAAGAAATATTCGAAGAAATGGATAAAGTTATTCGTGAAAAACAGGAAAAACATTTGGAAGATAAAACATTGGATGAATTGGACGAATTGGAAGATGAAGAGGATGATCGAATATTAATGGAATATCGGTGAGTCACTTATTTTTATTGGAAGGTTTTATTTTTAGATTGATTTACAGTTTTTGATCGTATACTACGCACAGACAAAAGAGAATGGCGGAGATAAAAGCCGAAGCATCATATGAAAAGTTTGGTCAGGTAATTCAAATATCAAAACCTGACTTTATAAAAGAAGTAACAGAAGCAAGTCAAGAAGTTTGGGTGATCGTGCATTTATTCAAAGAACCGTATGTAAAATAAATATGATGATAAATGTCTTGATTTTATTGTTAATTACTATATTAACAATTTTATAGAATTCCAGAATGTAAACTAATGAATAGACATTTAGCAACACTTGCGGAAAAATACAAAGCAGTAAAATTCGTAAAAATAATTGGAGATCAATGTATACCAAATTATCCAGATAGGAATTTACCCACTCTGCTAGTATATGGTTACGGTGACATTAAAGAACAGCTTGTGGGCATATCTCAATTAGGAGGAATGAATGTAACGCTTCAAGGTATTTCTTTATTTGTCAATACTTGAATTCTAGTTTCCTGGTTATTTTTTTGAGCCAACATTATTTATATTTTATAGCCCTAGAAAATTATCTAATTTCTACTGGCGCTATTGAGGATTCCAATAAAAGAGCCATGGAAAAAGATGATAATTCTACACAAAAAATAATTAGAAACCCTGCAACTGCTGCCTTAAGTGATGAGGACGAAACCGACGATGATTAATTAATTAATCAATTATTATTTAATCCTTAATTTCTGTAATTTATCATCAACTTGTTGATTAACCGTATTGTATTTCTTTTAAAAAATATCAACTTCAATTCGCAATCCACAAGTTTTACAGCATTGAGTTGTTACTCCAGTTTCCGTATCTTCTTCAACCTCTCCAAATTCGTGCTTATGTACCTTACGTCTATTTTGCTCTAAAGTTTCAGTTCTAGTGCGTCTTCGAAGATCTATAGAAACAGCTTTATTAATTTATGACGTTATTTAATAAACAGTAATATAAATCCATGTTGCTACTTGCCCGCCAGTTTTGTTTTGAATTTTTTATCCTTCCTTTTCTTTTTAATACCTTCTCTCCTCTCATATTCTTGGTCTAGCCCTTCCTCACTTCCCCATTTTTTGAATGCGAATTCCTCGACCTGTTCTCTGAGGAACAGCATCATATTATTCCAGGTTGTCTTGTGTGGATTTGGTTTAGATAAATGTGGTAAAATCTCAACATCTTTCAATTCAGCTAAATGAAAACAAAGAATTTTCTATTGAATTAATAATAATAATAATAATAATAATAATATAATTTCAAACGGTAATCAATAAAAAAAAATTTACATACCATCTGTTAATAGATAATCCTAAATTTTTTTTAAAAAAAACTTTAGTAATCGATATTGTTAAAGAAGTTTTGATAAAAGTTTACCTCCTTTGCCTCAGTCTTGGTTATTAAACTATATTTTTCCGGATATTCCCCCTTACATTTCTTACATATGTTGACTTTAAAAGTCTTACGAAAAAGGTTATCTAATTCTAACGAATTGCATTCTTTACATTTTGGATTTTCAGCTGGATCAATGCTTATGGCTACAAAATAAAATAAAAAAAAACTTGATTGATATTATCATATATTTAAAGAGAAATCGTTTTTAAATAGTTTAGTTTACATGGTTCTAAAGCATCAATTTCAGGTTCAGGAGGTTCCCACTTTCGTTTTTTGGAATTTGCATTTTCTTCTTCCAAAAGAAAACCTCCACGAGTATCTTTCATTTTTGAAAAATCATATTCTGCATAATTTTGAAATTTTTTCATGGGGCGTAATTTTTTTTCTTCAGTATTATCTCCATTATTTGTGGTGGTTCCTTGAATGTCCTTTTGCTCGGTTTTTGAGGTTGAATTATTAAGTTCTTTCTGTTTCTGCTTTTCCCTTAGTGCCAGAGCTTTCAATCGATTCTCTTCTATACGCTTAATTTGTTCGGGAGTTAGAGTAATAATATGTGCTATATCAGAAGTTAAATTCTTTTCTTGAGTAGACATTTTTTAAAAAATAAAAATTGATGTAAAAATTTCGTGATTTTATGGATTATCGCCTGCGGTCCTGCTGTGCTACCCCTTTTATGTTAAACAAACATCCAACATATGAAGAATACCACGAGTATTCTATCAGATTTATATAAAGCGTGTTAGCTTAAATGTTAACACACTGTCTAATTAATAAATAATAAATCGTTTTTCATTAATTTTAGTCATTTTTAAAGTTTTAATGATCAACTTTTTTTATAATGGAGCCTTGTCCAGAAGTTTACCAAAACAATGAAGAACCTGACGACTCTGTTGTTCGTCAGTTGGTGCTAGACTATCTTATACATAATTGTTATGGCGAAACCGCCAAAGTTTTTTTTAAAGATGCTTTGAATGTTGTTGAACCTAGCATTGAACTTGGATCAAACGGATCTCAGAATGGTTCAGCAAGTGACACCGTTCATAACGATAACAATTTACTCGTCCCTATTGATGCTATTGAAATAGACGAAGATGGGGATTGCGAAATGCTTGATTCAAATAAAGAGGAATATATGGATGTTGATTCCGCCAATGAATCAATATATAAAGAAGTTAAGGCTTCGAATCTTCTTGAAGTATTAAAGAAGAATCAAAGGAATAACGGATATGGCGAAAGTTTTAATGCTGAATTTGCTATAAAAAGTTTAGAAACAAGAAAAAGTAAGAGAATAATTTTAAATATTTTTTTTACATTTGTTTTCGCGCATTTCATTTCATTTTGTGATCTATGAACTAGAAACCTAGGTTTTTTTGTCTTTTCTTTTTTTGTACGAAGAAATCCGCCAATTTATAATAGCTGGTAGTATTAATGAAGCCTTGGCATTATGTCGAGATAAATTTCCTCATGTTGTGTCTTCAGATGAACAAGACATTAGAACTTCTGCGCGTTCAATTGATATATGTTTCAAGCTTCAATGTCAACAGTTTATTGAGACTGTTCGTGCTGGAAACCCAATCGAAGCTTTATTATTCGCTCAATCAGTATTAACAAGTTTCCCTAAAAAAAAGGGAGCTAATGCGGAAAAGTTTAATGCAGAACTTAGTTCTGTGGGTGCATTAATGGCATATGAAAATCCAGAAAAGTCACCAGTAGGGTCATTATTGGCTCAAGAACATCGAGATAAGTTGGCAGATGAAATTAATAGTGCCATTCTATGTATGATTCATTTCAATTTTTGATTAATTTATGAACCAGTGATTTTTTTTTTTAAATCATTAATTTAATTTTTTTCATTTCTTCTTAGCCTTTGATTATCATGCGGGTGAATCGGCACTTGAAAGGATTGTGAAGCAAGCGACATTGGTGCGAGAACATTTACATAATGTAATGTCTAGAGGACAAAAAAATAGCAAGGTATATCCAACATGATGAATAGGCTCGAAATTTTTCTTCCTGGAAGGCAATTATCCCAATCTCGTTTCGTGCGAACACTTACTATTCAGGTGTACGCGAAATGGCAACTTTCTACGTTTATTCAAGAGGGCAGTTGAAAAATCTCCGAATTCACCTTTACCGAAACCGCAAAAATTTACCGACTTTAATTATTTATCCCAGTGAGTTATTTATTCCAATCAAAAACAATTTCTTTTTTTTTTTTTTTTTGGATTTCAAGATTTTTTTTGCAAGGTTATTTTATTATTTTAGTTAATGAAATTTACATGCAAGTCAGTAGTTCAACTACGTACTTAGATATAGTTTACATTTTTTTGGGGGGAAGGAAATATTTTCGTTTTGTAAAACTTTTTAGCATTTTTCTTTACTTGATTCTATGTTAAATCATTACATGTTCGTTATAGAACCAAAACTATTTACGAACGGTTATGATAAGAAATATTTTTATCGATGGCTAATTTAATTACGGAAATATGTCAAATCCACGCATTTCAGTATATTTGATTTGGTAAATAAATAATTTTTTCAGGTAAAATATTTTTGTTTATTTTTTTTTTTTTAAAAAAAAATCCTTTTTTCCTCCCTTTTGTATAATAAATAATAAATGATTATATATAATCAAAAAATTCCGTGATATTTACTGTATTATTGCAGTGGTGGAAAATTATTTCTATGAAAGAAATACAAGTTATGATTATTATTATATTATTATTATAAATGAATATCTGGCAATTTTTTATTAAAAGAAAACAACTGATTTACTCTGCACCTCTCTAGATTTTCCTTTCCTTTATAGAACTTTATTGCTTTTCGTTATTCTAAAAGGTAAAATGGAAATTAAATTAGAATAGTTAAGTTTTAGGAGAATTGAACTAATTAAACTGAAGTTCTTACAGCTTCATGTCCATCTTCCAATACCAAATTTCTAAATGTTGAAAGTTGAAACCAACAACTCTCGTTAAAAGAATCATTTTACAAGAGAAAGAAGAATAATAATTATTAGGTAAAATTAACCACAATTAAGCAATTTTCATAGTTTTTCTCGACTTACATATCTAATTAGTTAGTATATAATTATATGCTCGCCTTTTTCAATGACTCCATCTATTATAAAATACCGTATTAGAACATACACAAGAACAAATCAAGCGAAATCTACCAACAAAATATGGTTTATCCAGTGATCATGTTCCTTAAATTTTAAATGACAAATATGTGTACTATAAAGATGTAATAAAAAATTAAAATTAAGCATTTATTATATTATTATTATTATTATGATTATTTATTTATTTATTTATCGAAGATAACAATGGGATCCTCAATTTTGGGTATTTACAAATTGTTTCCAAAATTGGTTTCTTAATATGTTGATGAATCATGTGATTTGGTATTGACAATTGGGAAGGAAATTAAAAATTTAAAAATTTAAAAATTCAGGTGATTTTATTTTCAGATAGTCTGCTATCTTGATATTGTATCCAAAATCAAAGATAAGAATAGTCTCTTTTTAAAAAAATTGATATTTTAACCTGTAAAATAATATAAAGGAGGGTTATTAATCATTCATTTTACGTTGAGATATACCAAAAAACTTTGTAGAATAAGGACCTTTGTATAAACAGTATATGCGTCAATCTGCAAAGTGGCGCAGAGAATAGCGCGATGCTTTGAAACAAATGAATCAAAGAACCTATAAAAATACAACATTTTAATTTACCTTGTTTCCCTTTTTCTCTTAATTTCAAAGATTATCTTTAACATTTTTTTCTCACACGTCACAACTTAAGGTTTTGTGATTTATCTTTATTATTTTTATTAATTCTCAAATTACAACGTCGCATGCATCTCTTATGTAAGACGACAAATGTTTGGGGATAATCACTTACACTCAGTTTGTTTTTCATTTGGAAAGGGGTTTATTTATTGTTAAAAAAAAAAATAGTTACCCATATTTAGAAAAATCACAATTGATTGATTTTGAAAGGGCAAAAGATAACAAATCTGAACACAATTTCACATTCACTGACGGTGAAACATTCTAAAATAATAATTCATTTCTAAAATTTTTTTATTTATTTTATATATCTTTTTTTTCTTTATTTTATTTTATTTTTTTTTTTTTTGAATATTCATAGTTTTTGTTTTGAAAATAAAATAAAAAATGGATAATCAAACGAATCCAAATATTTGTTCAATACTATTAAAAGATCTTCGATGGTAGGTTTTATAAACGGTACAGTATTTTTTAATTATTTTATACTTAAACTAAAGTTTGATACTCTAATTTATAGTTCCATTGAAAACGAAAAGGTGGAAAAGACATTTCAAAAGTTATTAAAAAAAACATTTACAAAAGAATCCAACAAGATACAGTTAGAATTTAAGTATAACAACGAACAAACACGAACGATTCTATCCCCTGCGTAAGTTAAAAAATTACGTTGAATTGTGACGTAGCAATCCCTCACAAAATTGACAAGAAATTTGCTCTAATCTGTAGTAGAATGTCAAATTCTAATACGATAACGGAAGCATCATGGGATGAACATATTCATTTTAATCTTGATACATTAAATCCTTCCGGAAGTAATAAATTGGTTATAACATGTTGGGATGCATCTATTAAACCTGATGGACGTTTAGGAGAAATAGCTTGGAATTTAGCAAATTTTGAGAAATCGGACGAATTTGATAGTAAAAGTAAGCGAATCTTTACATTTTGTAATTGATTTAATTTCTTTGGTTGATTTAAACGAAAAAAAAATTTTAAAAAAAAAAAAAATTTTTTTTTTTTTTTTTTTAAAGTTAACTTAAAACTTCGAAGTGAAGACTCAAAGCCAAAGGTTGAAGTGGAGTTTTATTTGTATTTCCTATCAAACGTAAGTGATTGCGCGTATTGTTATTTATTCCGCAGAAATAAAAATATTTATTAACGTTTTATATATAAATGAATAAAAGAGACCACCAATTGAAGAGATGAAAAAATTCGATGATTTGTCACTTCGTAACAAAATAATCGGAATGCTTTTGATAGATAACTTAGAATAGTAATATTTTTTTTTTTTTTTACTTTAAATTATTTTTAAAACTAAAAAACATAAATTAACATTTGCGATTACCTAATAGCGAGAATTTGTATGGAAATGTCGGGCCGTTAAAATTCATTTTACAAGAACAATCTCGTTCTACGGCAGAATATTGGCAAATAGATTCACAACAGCAAGAAAAACGATCAAAATGGAAACGTCCTATTGGAATGTTTTTGGTAGCAAGGCCTGATAATTTGGTGATCCATTTTAAAACAAATTCTAAAGGATTGGCTAAAACTAAAATAAGTGTTGGACCTTCCGGTGAAATGGAATCAATTTGGCCTAGTTTAATGAACGGTGGTCCTATAAGTGGTATGAAAATTTAAAGTTTTTTTTAAAAAAAAATTACATATATATTATTCTTTTAATACTTATTATTACTCATTATATTTTAGTTGGAAAACATTCTTTGGTGGAGAAAGGTTATGAGATATTAAAAATTACATTTGATATATCTTGTCATTCCATAGTGACATCTAGACATATCTTTGGAAAAGAAAAAGGAAAATCGGTTCGACCAGAACATACAAACGATACATTGTCTCGTTCTGTATCACTTGGACCTTCATCTGTTTCATCTTTTAAAGATAACGCTTCGGATATTTTCGCAATTCCACCAACACAAACAATTCAAAGACATCATTCTCTTAAACATCCATCAAATTCATCTTTTAAAAATAGTCCTTCAGAACAATTCGCAATTTCACCAACACAAACAACTATAGTTCAAAGACAACATTCTCTTAAATATAATAATGAACAAAAACAAAATGAGCGAAATAATAAGTATCTATTCAAACATCGAAATTCTCTTCCATATAATTTTAATAGAGATAACATATCAAACAATAATCAACAATATATGAACCAGCATCATAAATCTATCATCTCACAAGTAATTAACAATAATCAAACTAAGTTTCAATCCGGAAATTTACATGAAAGAAGAGATTCAAATTCTTCCAGTGAGACTTCTAAATCTTCAAAGAAAAAAATCGATGATAAACGTCAACAAATAAGAAATGATAAATCATCTATAAATATTCATTTTCAACAAGATAGAGAAATGCAAGACTATGCCAATAATAGCGCTTATCGACCCACAAAAGAAGTTAATATCAATTCTGGGAATAAAATAGCAACATATGAAAATGTTAATGAAACAAGACAAGATTTATCATTTTCATCAGATAAAAAAACTCAACCATTAACAATTCCATATAATAAAAATATACCAAGTAATATAGAGCATCATATCAAAATTGGAAATTCTCCGCCTGTTAATGTGGGATTTCAAGATTGTGAGCATAGAGAAATTCCTTTAGAACGAAACATGTATATTCAACAGAATTTTCAACAACATATGCCTCAAAATATTCCATTTGGGTTTAACACCACCACATTTCACAACGACAATACACAACTTATATTTAATAGGTATGAAATAATCTCTCCGTTGCAAAGAGCAACATCTTCACATAATAAAGTATACCTTGGTCAACATACATTTACCATGGATCAGGTTATAATTAAACAATATAAATTTCATTCAAGATGGGAGAATGAGAGGCGATTTTTAAAAGAACTCAAGTCGAAACTAATCGTAAAGTTGGAAGAAGTAAGTATAAATCCAACCAACGAACAAGAATGTTTAATTGTTACAAAGTTTTATGGAAAACCTTTGGATGAAGTAGCAGGAGATATATATGACAATAAGGAATATATAAAAAAGGTATTTTGGAACATTTGTATAGCTGTGGATTGGTGTCATAAGAATGGAGTAGTGGTAAGCAATTTACATTTTAGCTTATTTCCTATAGTTTTCATATTTACATGTTTCTACTGTAATTACTTTTTTATAGCACATGGATTTGAACCCATCTAATATTATATGCAAAGATAGATGTATTCATAGGATACGATTATGTGATTTTGAACATTCAAAAAAGATTGGGGATAAAATTTATTTTCACCATAACCAGGAATTCATATTAGGATTTACGCCTCCAGAACTATTCTTTCTTCAAAGACAGCAACATGTTCCTTCCTCACCAGCTTCACATTCATCATTCACACCTTCATCATACTCTTCTTCTTCATCCAACACCCCTTACACCTCTCAATCTTCTTATTTAACTTGTTTTCCAAGTATAGATGTTTTTAGCTTAGGTTGTATATTATACTATTTGAATACAAAAAATTTACTATTTACAACTGAAAAAGAATTGGAACATTTAAGTTTAACCAAAATTTCTGAAAGCATTGAAGATGAACGAGTTTCTATTTTGGTCAAGTGGTTGGTAGCTGAAACTGGCAACGAAAGACCTAAAACTACACAAGTACTAAAAAATTCATTCTTTGATTCAATAAGAATATAATGTAAGGTTTTAACCTTATTTTTTTTTTGTATCATAGTATATATATTTAGAAATGTTATGTTTTAAACCTTAAATTGTAAATTATATCAAAGGGCTTTATTTAAAATGACTAAAATGACTGTATTACTATCAAAAAATGAAATCTTTTAGAGTGGATTTGTAAAATGTTGTAAATGACGTAACTTTGTAACTTTGTAAATAATTCGAATGAAGTAATGAAGTAAATGTGTTTTACCCTTTTTAAGTAAGAAAAGATTGTAAAAAAAAAAAAAAAAAGTCGCGAAAATCAAAAATATCAAAATTAATCATGGTATCATAAATATAATAAATACAGTATATATATATTTTTTTTATTTTTTAACCACACAAAAATCAACATTTTCTCGTTATATTCATATTTTGTATTAAATACAAATTTAACTTTATGCTAATATATATTTAACAGTAATAAACCATCTAAAAAACTTAACATTCAAGACCAATAAAATACAAAAAGAATAATGTCAATTTTATGAAAAAGATTAATAATATTTATATTTACAGTGTGGTAAGCACGTGTTTCAATCAAATGCCCATGAAAAAAAAAAAATCATTAAAGATAAAGATATTAAAGAATGCTCGTTAAGAATTTCAAGACATTATTGGAAGAAATAATTTGGCTCTAGCGCTAGTAATATTGTGAAAAAATATTTATGAGATTGCTGTAAACGTAAAAAAGATATTATTTATTGTTATTCTAGAGTATATTTTAGGCACATAATCTTCAAAATATCTTACAATTTTATTCTTTAGAACAATTCAGGTAATTGAGATAACCTTCGCATGCACCAGGTTTTATAAAATAGCTCTTTGCAGAACTTAAGAGACGTTATTGCACTAGTTCAAAAAATTTTAATATTGAATATGATCATTCTTTACCCAATGTAAAGGTAGATTCAAATGTTATTTGAAGGAAGAATAATAAACGAAATTTGGGATTTCTCATTCGAACTTACACTTAATAATAATTTAAAATTTGTAGAATTTAAAATTTTTTTTTATTTTTTATTTTTTTTAAAAAAAATTATAATGCTGCGTCACCAATATAAAAGTTGAGAAAAAAATTGCATATCAAGAAGTTATCTTAACATGAATGAGTAATGATGCATGTTATAATAGTTAAAATAAAAAATTAAAATTATTATATTTGGCACAATAAAATTTCTACTATTAAATGACCCATCCCTACCAATAATTTATGTTGTAAAAGATAATTAATTATGTGAATATCTTAATCGCATTCTGTGTAATGAGAGTGTATAATAATTAATAATTATAACAATTTAATTTTTTAAAAAAAAAAAATAAATAAATCCGATAATTATTTCAAATCCCCTTTAATCCCATTCAATTTTTACTAAATGACCATAATAGAATTTCGACTTTGGAGCAATCCCTTTTATCGTCCAATTTTTTTCTATTGCAAATTTTTTAACAAGGTTCCTTATTTCATGAATTTCACCATGAAAAGTGAATTGAAATATTTTCAAAGGTTTTTTAATACAATGTAAATAATCTTCCAACAATTTTATGTTAATCACCCACTTGGAAATGTCAAGTTTACGAATATTCTTAGGAATCTTTAAAAAGAATTCTGTAATACATCCATTTATCACCCAATACTCATCTTGATCCGCAAAATAGTTGCAACATTTAAGAACTTCCAATTTTTGAAATTTATCATCAAAGTATTTAACCAATTCATCCAACTCTTCTCGAGATTGAATCCTAAATGTTAACGACACTAGATTCGGACAATATGTTGCTATCGTTTGGATGACACTTAATGAATTTTCGAAATCCATCATGAAAACGAATTTGCTTAAATATTTACCCACATTGGTGATTATTGATAAGGGTATTGAATAATTAATTTCATGATCAATAAAATAAGGATCATAAATTTTTAATTTTTTCAATTTAGGAAAGTTGTTTTCATACACGGAATAAAAATCAATACATCCAAATTCCAATTCTTCAAGATTTTGAAATTCTCCCAAGAAATTTAAGCTACCAAGATCAATCTCAGTAAACCATATTTTGAATGTTTTTAAAGAATGAGCTTGAGTAATTAAGGCATTATGAATGTCCGCAAGTCTACTTCCTTCATAACCGTCAAGGGCCACATGTTCAAGGTTATTTTGTGACTTTATTAATTGGATTAACCCATCCTCCCCATTACAATTGGACATATCGTAATGAAATCCGATATGAATTGATTTAAGATTGTGAGCTATCTTTGAGAATTCTATTAATATTTCTGGAAAATTCATATCATAATAAAAATCAATCAGTTCCAATCGATTAAGAAAACTTGGATTCGAGGATATGATTTCCTGATAAAATGGTTTAAACATTTCATACATAACCATTTGGGGTTTATCCAAAATCAAAGATTTTAATGCATTATTATTCCTTGATATTACATGATAAATTGCATCAACAAATGCGATCCTCTCTTGATTTTTGAAGAGCGCGTTGGGAGTAATCACCCCACTATACTTGTAAGCATTAAACTTTGCTATGTACTCTTTTTCATGAGTAAAGAAATAATCATAATCTAGATTTGGTCGAATCTCTTCCTTTCTCTTAATCCATTCTTTAATTAAGAACATGATAGCTTCAAAATGTAACTCTTTTATAAATGAAGGGTAATCGAATAAAACCTTTGCTTGAATTTCAAGACTTGCGTCGGTAATATTCAAATAATGTTTCCTTTCATCATCAAGGAATGCAAGGATGACTGAAATGATTTTGTAATTATTTTTCAATCGAAGTTTATTGATAAAAGGTGTTTTCCAGAGTAGCATAATACTATTTTGACACCATTCTCGGTTAACTAATATTAAGGAATGTAATGTGTCAAAGTCATCATCACTTATATAACTAAAGATTTTTTGTAGCGTTTCTGGCGGTAGATATAAAGCCATTTTTTTTTTGTTGAATTAAAGAAATGATGTTTTTTTTTAAAAAAAGTTATAAGGTATCATTTTTATATCTTATTGTTAAATTAAACTTAACTATAATTGGTTTAACTTCTGCTGCACCCCATGTAACATTCGGTCCCTAATTCGGTTAATCCAGAATATTTGCAAATCATCGATCCCGTTATTTTTTCTTTTTTTAAAACGATGTTATTAATTCTTTACTTTCCAGATTATAGACTATAATATGAAATGCTGTTATGAGTTGTTCCTTTTAAAATAAAGGAAAAAAAAAAAAATTTTTTTTTTTAAATATTCAATTTCTCTCACGCCATTTCGTTTATTAAAATTCCCCCTTTTTTTTTTAGCTTTCTCGATAATATTTTTTTCGTCAATTGCAGGAATATTATCCTAAATAAAAATTATTTTACATTGGAACAAAAGTCCGAGAAGTAAAAATTACAAAATTGCCAAAATTACATTTAACCATACTTTCCTTTCATAATCCAACGTTTTATTATAAAGTTTACGAGTAATAAAAGTATATTTTTATTTTTTGGCAAAACTATTTACCAAATTAACTTTACATTTTATTTTTTTTTACCTTTGGCAAAGAAATTTGCTGTCTTGGGGGTTTTTGAACATTATATAGGAGGAACCCACGTATCTAAACATTCTTTTATGAAAAATGGTGATAAAAGGACCAGAAAATGAAAATTTCAAAGGGAAGACTTTTTTATGAGATGACAATATGACCTAAAAAGGGAAATTATTTAAATTAAATTAGATTACATTAAAGGTTAGGTTACAAACCATGACCCGCCTATCACAAATCAGCCTTTTTCTACCGATAAAGAAAAGTTCTTCTCTCTTTGATGTTTAAACAGATGGGTTAAAAAAAGTAAATCATGCACAGAAGAAGCATGAATTTCATGGAATTAATCCCAAATTCACCTTTTTACATAAACGGGTATAAACGTTTATCAATAGATCCAAAATATCAGCAACGAAGACGATATAAAGGGTCAAAATTTACAAAAGTTGGTTGTAAAAATCTGCAATTCAAGTATCAACTGATCGATTCTTGTGAACCAATATTATGAGTGTTAAGCTTGCGGGAACAAATAGAATATTAGATACATGTTTATGATATAACACAGTCAATATGTAAATCTTGAAAAATATCGATATTAATATACTCTCATATTATGGTAATATTATGTTATAATATATATCGATATATTGAATAGAGGTCAGACATTTATTTACGTTATGGAGTAATTACATTTTACAATTTTGCATTATAGGTTATCAAATTTAAAAAATTTTTATATAATTAACAAAATTACGTTGGACGTTCTTTATGATAAATGAAAACAAAATTTAAATCTGACAGAATGATTTTTTCAAAGAAAAAAAATTTTTAATATGGTTATTTATAATATTGTTAATCTTTGAACGATTAGTTGTCAATATATTAATCTATCGTTCTAAAGTATCGATCCAATTAAAGAGATTAATTACATCAATACAAATTCCAATAATGAAAAATCGCGATGATAATGTTTTGCAAGAAGCTGTATTTCTTAAAATGTCATTTTCAATTCACACCCTGTTCAAAGATTTGTCTCCGGAAGAAATCTTAATATTCTTTCTGTTGCAAGTTGCAAGTTAGAATTAAATTAAAAATATGAAGGTGGTTCTTAATTAAAAGAGACTTAAAATGACGAAAATAAAAATACAATCCCTTTAGACGGCACGCGCTTTTCCATCGTAATTCCTTATTAGGAAATCCTATTGGACCCTTTTTATGTCCTCAAAGGAAACTTTTGGTCAAAATAAGCATTAAATCATAACATAAAATTCCTATCACACGTCATTTCAACCGCGAACGCGCATTCAATTACGTATTCACCGAGTCGAGGGCCAAGTGCCTTGCAAGCGATTGGATCATGTGAATCTTTTCCATTTCGCTGTCATTATTTATGTGAGGTGATTATTTTTTAAAAAAAAAAGAGTGTGATAAGTAGGGTTACAATACAAACTGATTAAAAAGAATATATATTTGAATAAATATACAAATGGGGTTTTAAATGTATTCGGCAAAAGTTTTTTTTTTTTAAAGTTTCGGCAAGGTAAATATTTATTATTATTTATTTAAAAAACCAGTCGCTTAATCATAATCACAAAAAAGATTCTGAAATCTTAAAATACTAAAAATAACAAAAATACCAAAACGAGTATACTTGCACCAAATTTTATTAAAAAAAGGCTTATTGTGGTTAAAACAACGTTGGGCAATGAATAATCTAAAAACGCTCATGACAAATCGTTCCTTTTTAATCAATCGATAATTAGCAAAAATCTACAAAGTAAGAAGTTTTAAATAAAAAAAAAATCATTAAAAATAAATTTTTTAAGATGATGTTTAAGACTTATGTAAACAAAGAAAATTTTTTTTTTTTTTTAAACGCGAATATTATTTATAGCTACGTTCCTTCCGTCTCACAAAAACCCTTAAAAATAGATTTCATGATAAAAATAAACCTGGACTAAAACCGACATGGATTGGTTTATCGCGTCACTTTATTGATAATTGTGACTTGGGGCATCAAAACTTGAGCCCGTATAGACCATTCAGTTTATTGTTTATAACCAAAATTAGATAAGGGTTTAACGATCATTCAACTAATACCTAATTATTAGAATTAACATTTCGATCGAGAAGCTGAAATGTACCAATCGTTAGATATAGACTTCCCTTTAGATCATTTGATCGATGAGTTGAAGCCACTTTGTAATTAATAAGCCACGTAAACAAATTATACCTGTACCAGAGGCTTCGAACTTTTACACATTTTGTTATTTACAATTAATTTCCCCACCAAAATGATTCACATTTGATCATCCTTTTATAAACTAAATAAATTAATACCCAGTTAGATCACACGAGCTAAAAAAAGTTTACAACGTGATACGAAACAATCAGCAATCAACAAACAAGTAAAAGGAGGAAAAAAAAAAAGAAGAAAAAAAAAACGTCGTCATGTAGTTTTTTTAACATTTAATATATTCCTCTCACATGACGGTAACACACACGAATTCACAAGCAAAAGGATAAAGTGAAATTCTTTTTTAAATTTTAAGAAAAAAAGACTAATAATAAAATTAAAAAAGAATTTTAAAATTCCTATCCTATGAAAATATCTATTTTCATATTCTCTGTGAGAGTCGATGAGATATTTTTAACCCTATTGTTTTCATTTGTCTATTATTAGATTAAATAAATAAACAAAAAAAAAAAATTACCGCCAAAGATTCTCAACCCATTTTCTTTTTACCTGACCTAACACGGGAAAATTTTAAATAATATAATTGTTCTTCAATGCAAAATGCAAATTCATTTGCTTCAAGTGACCTGTCGATCGAGATTAAAAATAACTATTTTTTCAATATAGGGTAGTACCTATGAAATAAAACTTTCTATTTTAAACTTTACAAGGGTATGTTAAAAAAAAAAAATTTTTTTTTTAAAGAAAATAAATAAATAATAAATACATTTTACACTCCATGAACAAACTTCCTAAACTTCCTTTTGAAGGAGATCAAGGGAACAATGCTACAAATTCATCCAATTCTATTCTTGGGATATGACGTTGTATCCGCGAATGTTTTGTTTATTTCTCGGAGTTGTCTTTCCGTCCATCTTGTGACATTTAGGACGCGTTACATTTTCAAAGTGCATTGTAAAGAAGCGTCCCAGAATTAATCTGACAGTATGAAAATAATGTTTTCATTTAATAAAATATTACATCAAATGTAATTCTATTTCTCTAAAAATAATCAAAAGTCTAAAAAAATAAATAAAATAAAATAAAGGCGCTAAAAATAACAAATGATAAACATATATCACCTTCCTTTTAATAGAATTCTTTCTGTCTTTCTGTACTTGATTGAAGCCGTCATTGCTTTCCTTATTGCACCAATTGTGAAAGTGACACCTTTTAAAATTTCATTGCGAAATCAGAGATCCAGAAATCTCCTACGATTATCTCAAGTTTCTTTGAACCCGAAATTAGATCATCTTAAATTAATAGAGTATGCAAACCAACTTACCAATAATTTGAACATTAAATCATCTTTTTCCACTTCCTTCGATTAATTATTATTTTCCAGTAATGCACTTATGATGAAGGGTAACATTTCTTTTAATGCAACGACAAATGTCCTTTATTCGATTTTTTTTTTTTTTTAAAAAAAACAAAAAATAATGTGCATGTTAGTTTTGTAATACATCAATATGTTTTGATCTGCAAGTTTATATAAAAATAAAGCTTATGTGAGATTCAATCAAACCGAGAACATTGAAACAAACCTTAAAAAAAATTTTTTTATTAATTTCCGCTCCCATGTGATATTTTACAAAGTTATAACGTCATAAAAATTGTAACGGCACAACTTTTCAAAACTGACCTTTTTTGTAACTAGCAGAAATTTCCTTTTCTCGTAAGCTGTAACGGGGGTTTTGGGGAAAAAAAAATAATTCTATTTTGCTGAAACAAAAAAAAGATCAATCATTTATATAAAAAATATCGTGTCGCGATCTTTTGTAACTAATCTCAGAGAAACTTTAAAAATATCATTCATTTTACGAAATTTGTTTTTATTTATTTACAAAAAAAAAAAAGGGAAAAAGCATTACAGTTTAAAGGAAAAAAAAAAAAAATAAGAGTAAAATTTTAAAGTTTAAATCGAAATAAAGTATATACTAAAAAGATTATAATTTATACAAGATAGAGAAGTTGATTCTTACTTAAACTATATTACATAAGGAATAATGTGAGATGAAAAGAAAAGTAAAAAACAAAAAGAAAAAAGTAAAATAAAGACAATTTTCGTGAATGTAAAACTTAATTTTTTTATGGTGGCTTTTTTTCTTTTTTCTTTATATTATTGTGACGGTTTCAATACAACCTTTTTTTTTAAAAAAAAAACGCGTTGTTCATTGAAATTATTATATTCATTGGTCAATTAAATCTTTCGTTTATCTATGATCAAATTAAATTCTTCGACTAATGAGATTCTATCACTCGAAAAATCTGATAATTTCTATGCTATTTTTACGTATGTTGAAATTGATTTTGCATTTTAGAGAAATTTTACTATGAGAAAGGTCTCTTTTTTTTAAAAAAAAAGTCCAACATAAAAATAAGAATAAAAAAAATGAAAAGTGATACGTAATTATAATAATAAAAAAATATATAATTTCAAGAAATCCATTTCAACACGAGATTATCTATCTAAAATAATAATATGTATATTTTCTTTAAATTTTATCGTTAAAAACTGTTGAAGGAGTTGCAAATGATTGTCCGGAATACAAATGATATAGGTCGGAAGATTGAAGTGATGATTGAGCATTTATGGATTCTGTGGTATAAGCTGGAGCAGAAAATCCAGCTTTCTCAAAGAATCTACTTTCATCGAGTTCTGACGAGAATAATAGAGAAGAAATATCATCAAATGAAGAAGCATCAGAAGGTGACGAAGAAGTTGAGCAAGGTGACATCGATTCCATTGATTCCAACATTTGAGTATCTAAACCTATGAGAGCTGGGGAGTTCATCAAGTCTTCCAAAGGAGTAGTTGGGGAAAATGATGGACTAAAACAATGTGGGGTTTGTGGAAGATGAGTTGGGGAATGAATATTTGAAAGATCGTCTTGAATCGAGGGAGAAATATTAGGAGTCCAAGGGAAAAAATTTGGATCCGTAGTGAAACAATTCTCTTGATGGACGATCGGGTTATCCATCTTTGTCGAAGAAAGGGATGAATGTTCAAGGGAATATTTGGCGAGCTCCGATGTCGTACCAATGGAGAAGGGGGCGATATCGCCATTCACGGGAGGCTCTTTTGCAAAATTTCGTTGGAATGCGTTAGGAGCAGAAATTGAAAATGATTGAAGTAATCGATCGTAAATATTGAAATCATTGAAGAAATCATAATTCGAGGCATTTAGTTGAGGTAGATGAGACTCGTTTAATTTAGGAATCGAAATTTCGGGTTCAAGTTTTGAAGAATATTCCTTCAACGTGGGACGTTGAGTTGGCAAATATTTATAGTTGATCTGTGGTTGGGTGTTCCCAGTCTCACGAACGTACATTTTCTCTGCATCGCTTGAAAGTTTCGTATAGGTCTCTTTAACATACTCTGGTTCTTTCTTCCAAGAGGTTGAAATCATTGGAGATAATTCCGTCATGGAAATATGATAATTTTTCGATTTGAGGAATAGAACGTACTCATTACGATACATGATGAATGCATTGGGGAATCTTGCCAATCTCGGTTTCGCGACTAATTTGGTTACAATTTGTTCAACTTTTTGAGTCGGCGGAAAGGGAAGTGGTAATGGAGGCAAAGAAGGTGAAGGTTTCTTAATATCAAGTTTGATCTTTTGTTGCCCTTGTCTCATGGTACGAATCCTTGATTGAGATTCCGAAGATCTTTTGGAAGCTTTCTTATTTTGAGTCATGTTTGTTTTTTCTTTAAAAAAAAAAAAGATAAAAGGAAAATATTGAACTTTGACGATAAGAAAAAAAATAAAATAAAAAAAAAATAAAAAGGTTAAATTTAATTTAATTTGTATATTTAATTATTTCTTTTTTTTTTTTTTTTTTTTTTTTTTTTTTTATCAAAAACTTTAAAAAGTTTTTATTTTTTTGTTATTTAAAAAAAAAAAAAAAAATTTTTATAAAAAAAATTTTTTT